AATTATTTTAAACTCAGAATGAATACTCAATTGAATGTAACACTTTGACTGATGAGCAGAAATTTCAGAGAATTCATTTATTCCTGGAGAGAAGAGGGAGAAGTTCCACTAAACAACAGTGATACTGTTTACCTTGTGAGCTCAGTTGTTGTTATTTTGCTAGACTAATCTATACTTATATATTAAAGGGATTGTACTTCTGGAAAAAAATCGGTATGCTGCAGATTTATTTTAAAAGGAATATGCTGTGCCAACAAAATGCATTAGGGGAGGGAGACCAAGGCAGAGGAAGCACTATTCTCACATTTAGTTTATTCCTTTTTCATTTCCAGGCAACCAAACTAATAATACCAATTCCATGTTTAAGCGTATGCTTAGTTTCTATTTCTTTGTTGTCGTTTATAAAGACGAGGTCTTGTTATGCTGCCCAAGGCTGCTCTTGAACTCTTGGTCTCAAGTGATCCTCCCACCTTGGTCTCCCAAAGTGTTAGGATTACAGATGTGAGCCACTGTGTCCAGCCTATTTTCTATTTCTTTACCTAGTTTCTGAAATTCTGCCTTCACTTGCTTCCTCTCCTGGCATCTCTCTCAGTCTCTCTCAGTCTCCTTTTGTAGCTTCTCTTCTCTGACCTGTCTTTTAATTGTCAGTGGTCCTCAGGGCTCTGCCTACTTTTTCATCATGTTCCATCTAATTCTAGGCAATTGTACTGATGTCCATGGCTTCAGCTATCACCTATACACCAATAACTCCTAAGTCTGTAACTATAGCTTTCACCACTGCCCAGGGCTCACACCTACATTTTCAAGTGCCTACTACATCTCTGCATGTGGGTATTCTGAAAATACCTTTAATCCATTTTGTCCAAAATAAAACTCAATATTCTTGACTGCTAACCCCTGCCCTTCCCAGGGCAGTACCCATCAAATGCAGCACACACATACACATACACTCAGATATGCAAGCTGAGTACCTCTTAGGTACCAAGCACTTCCGTATCTGTCACTTTCGAAATAAAGCTGGAAGCTTGGGAACCACTGCATTGCCCTTCGAGACCTCTCAGTGCCACATCCCCCTACCTGCATCACTGTCACTTGCTTCACTTGCTGCAGGTGGTTCTCAAACTGTGTTCTGCATTGCTTCAGGGGTGGCCTGGAGGGATGAGGAAGACCAAGACAGAGGAAGTACCAGTCTCACATTTAGTTTAAAGCTGTATCATTTTTATCTGTTTTGTAAGTGGGGTGCTGGCTAAAAAGTTTTGACCAAAGCATTCTGCCATTTAAACAGGGTTTGAAAACCTTGACTTAGGTCCCACCTTCTTGGGACGGCAGGCAAAGCCCCGCGTGACCTACCCCATGCCTTTATCACAGCCTCATCTCCTGCCACTCCCTCATACGCATCTTGGGCTCTAGTCAGGCCAACCCCATCACAGCCCCCATCGTTCCTTTATGTCTCCTGTGTGTTCAAACATGCACATGCTCCCCTAGGGTGGAGTGCCTCTCTCACCTCCAGTTCTTTGTCTGTCTGGTTAGTCTTCCTCATCCCTCAGCACCCAGGTTAGACTCCCTGCCCTTGTGATGCCTCTGCTGACTTCTCTAGCCTCCATACTGTGCCTCCTCCCCAGTTAGCCGCCTCCACTCCCTGCCCCCAAGGGTTGCCCACACCTCTGCTGTGCCAATCACACACCACCAGGTGATCGTCCCTTGCTTGTCTCTAGACTGTGAGCCCCTCCAGGGCAGGGTTAGGTCATATTTCAGTCTATCCTGGGGGCCTGGCACAGTGACTGGCATCTGAGAGGCACTCAATAAATGTTTGCTGAATGGAACTCGCAGGGAATATCCATTCAATGTCCTCTTCTCCATTTTCAGGTCTTCACTAACTCCTAAATGGATGATTCCAAGTGGATATTGATCCACGCTGGACCTCTGAGGAACTTCATTGCTTTCAAGCTCTCCCTTACTCCAATCTACCCTTTATGCTATGGGCAGAGTGATCTTTCTAGAAGGTACACCTGACCACACCACTGCTCAGAAACTTTCAATGCCTCTCCATTGCCATACAGTAGAGGCTGGTCTCTTCATCACAGTATTCTTGGCCATTCATAACTCTTTTTTTTTTTTTTTTTTTTGAGATGGAGTCTCGTTCTGTCACCCAGGCTGGAGTGCAGTGGTGTGATCTCCGCTCACTGCAAGCTCTGCCTTCTGGGTTCACGCCGTTCTCCTGTCTCAGCCTCCCGAGTAGCTGGGACTACAGGCGCCTGCCACCACACCTGGCTAGTGTTTTTGTATTTTTTAGTAGAGACGGGGTTTCATCGTGTTAACCAGCATGGTCTCGATGGCCATTCATAACTCTTTAACTTCATCTTCCTGCCCTTCCCCAACCCTAACCGCAAAACCACAGACACTCTTACACTCCAGCCAGAGCAAACTTCTTGTTGATCCCAAAACACATCATGATTTTTCTTACTCCACAGACTCAAAGTGCCCTTCTTACTATTTAAGACCAAAGTCAGACACCACTGCCTCTAGGGAAACCTTCCTCAGGCAGTCACTCTTGGTGCTTTCTCCTGGTGCCTCTTTCCTGGCACCCACCATATTGTATCGTAATTCCTGGGAGTTCAGTGCTTCAGTAGAATGAGTATCTCTCATTCTATTGAAGGCGTAAATTTGAAAGATTCACAAAACAAATAAAAATAGCACCGGGCTGTATTTTACGGTGTCTGCTATAGTTCTACCTGTGTTTTTGTTACATCTCCACAACCAGACTGCAACATCTTTGGGGGCAGAGATTCTACCTCATGTCTTGGTATTCTCTGCTAAGCACACAGTACTGTATATGCTGAACAGCATCTGGGTAGATATTAGAAAAGGACTTATCAGGGCTGGGCCCCTGCACTGAGGGTCTTAAAACCATCTGAGGACTCTCTATAAACTACAACCCTTGTGTCAAGGGCAACCCTACAACCGTAGGAGCTCACTTCTCACCAAGAACTAATGAGGATTTGCTGGGTCTCTGACTCAGTAAGCAGATAAGAACCCAAGTGTCTCAGCACCATTTCAGTTCACAGTACTGATCCCATATATAGGCAACTTCCTTGAAACAAGCAAACAAAGAGGTTTGTACAGAGGTGGGCAGAGATGTTAGATTTTTTTAAAAAAAAGATGAGAAAGTCTCTCAGCAAAAAGAACTTGGCTGGGCATAGTGGCTTATGCCTGTCATCCCAGCACTTGGGAGGCCAAGGAGGACTGCTTGAGCCCAGGAGTTCAAGACCAGCCTGGGCAACATGATGAAAGCCCATCTCTAAAACAATACAAAAATTAGCCAGACATGGTGGTGCATGCCTGTAGTCCTAGCTATTTGAGAGGGGGCAGGAGGATCACCTGAGTCTGGGAGTTCGTGGCTGCAGTAAGTGGTGATGGTGCCACTGTACTCCAGCCTGGGTGACCGAGTGAGACCCTGTCCCCCCACAAAAAATTGCTTTTCTAATATGAGAGTTTATGATTTACATTGATAGCACACCTTGGATATAGGCAGGACTCTGGGAATCTGGTGGTCGGTTAGGGCCAATTTCTGAAGAAGGTTAAGTGAATTCTACAGTGATATTTCTGAATTCTTGACGGTTGGTTAGCAGTGGTAACAAGCTGGATTACTGTCAATATTCTGTCCTCTGGCTCTGAGTAAACTCACCCTGTCTGGTTGGCTTGGCTCCCCTCCCTGTACCCAAAGCCATTTCAGAGGAATATTAGTAGATACCATTTGTTGGTTGTCATTTCTGGACGAAAGTTCAACTTGCAGGCTGCTGTGCCTGTATTTTAAATTACAGTTGGGTCCTCTGATACTGGACACTGCTGTTGTCATGGACTTTTAAGGAATACAATGACAGTGAGTCACCCTATCAATCATCAGTAACAAGGAGCCACTCACCAGAGGGAAAAGTGGGTCGGGGGGGGTTGGGGATTGCTTCTTGGAATGGATAAAATGTGCTGATTTCATTCCTTTTTCACACCTATTCTATTGTTTTCATCTATTTGCTGGAGAGTCCCTTGTAGTGTTAAAACAGGAGTTAACTATCTTTACAGTTTATTTAGACCAGCAGGTTGAGGAAAGCCTGCATTTCAGGTGGTAACAAACATTCCCTGCTAAAATTTGGGGCCTCCTGTAAAGACTTTTCAGGCACAGGTGGCTGTTTGGTTGAGGATCTAAGCTCAGCCTGGGATGTGACATCACCCCTGGGTCAAGCGAGGAGCCCACCCAGGTGGCTAAGCTCTCTCTGGGGACCTCTTTTCATTCAGAGCTCCAGTGTAGAAAATGAAAGGCAGGGACACTCCCCCTCTCCATCTACTTTCTTTGCTTCTGGACCCTCTGACCCCAGACAACTGATTTGCTCAAGGTAGAAATCAACCATACTCCCCTAAATGGCAGAATTCATTTGTTCCCACAGCTTGACACTTGAACCTTCATTTTGCAGTTACTTCTGTCTTGCCAATGTAGAGTACTCTCCCCTACTCGGTGGGGACTCTCTGTAGTAAAGTGTCATCTTCGTCCAGGTAGACAATCCTCCCAGAACCAGTACAGGGCCTGCTACAGGTGTTCAGGATATATGTGCAGGGGAGACGCCGTGTGCCAATTATGTGCAGAAAGTTTCAAAGTCCAAGTCAAGAGAATCATGTCTTCCCCTCCCACCAGCATTTCTCCAGGAAAATGCTTGGAAAAAGGCCCCCATAAGGCCGGGCATGGTGGCTTATGCCTGTAATTCCAGCACTTTGGGAGGCCAAGGCGGGCAGATCACGAGGTCGGGAGTTCAAGACCAGCCTGATCAACATGGTGAAACCGTCTCTACCAAAAATATAAAAATTAGCTAGGTGTGGTGGCACATGTATGTAATCCCAGCTACTCAGGAGGCTGAGGCAGGAGAATCGTTTGAACCCGGGAGGCGGAGGTTGCAATGAGCCGAGACTGCACCACTGCACTCCAACCTGGGCAACAGAGCGAGACTCCATCTAAACAAACAAACAAAAAAAGGCCCCCATAGTCTGTATTTACCAATGTAACCAGAGCTAACCTCGAATAGATACTCTGAGCCAATCATGTGCATTACAGTGCATCGGCTTTTTCACTCCCCATTTTACAGATGAGAAACTGAGACTTCCAGACATTAATTCAGTCAATGGGAGACCAGATTTGGGCCTAAGCTTTCTGCCTCCACGGCCCATGTATACTTTGTCTCTGCGAGGAGAATGTAGGATTTCAGAGCTGATAGAACTCTATGAGAGCACGGGTGAACTCCCTCATTTTCCCTCTTTGGGGAGAATGGAGCAAGAGGTGATTCCAGAGCCTGTTAGGGCCACACTGGGCCTGGAACTCAGGTGTCCCATCAACCAAGCCAGTGTCCCCCTGGATAAACATCTCATGTGGATTAACCTTGATAAGTTTTACAGCAATAAAAGAGAAGCAGCTCCCCTTAAGGAGCACCTCCTGTAAGCCAGGCACAGACCAAGGATTTACATATGTAAATATTTCACACCAGCCCACAAGGTGGGCATTAGTCTTAACTCTTGACAGGTGAGGAAACTCAGGCTCAGAGAGGCAAGGTACTTAATGTAGACTTGGGATTTGTATGCAGATTTTTCTGACTCTTTCCACCCGCTACCCTAGACCTTCAGAAACCGGGGCCACACTATGAACTTGAAGCATTTGCTGAAAGTGCAGTGTTTGCATTTGCTGGAAGTGCACAGAGAACTTGCTGTATCTTGCACTGAATCATCAAGAATTCAGGGTCCACTATGTAGCCCCCCATGTTGTTTCTCTGTGGGCTTCTTGTGACACCTTCAGCCTCTGGGCCACAAAACCATGGAAGAGTTGTCTGGGCTCAAGAGAACACTAAAACCAGCTCTAATTGTAATGGAATAAAACCTTGACCATTTTCTTAGTCTTGGACTGTATACTCAGCAGCGGGAGGTCCTCCAGAAGCCAAACAGCCAGCCCTGAAAGCTAAGAAGAAAAGTCCAGTTGTCCTCTGGATACTCCCATGCTCCTAGCCTCCTAGCCCATCAGCACAGGATGTGGGACTGGGCTCTTCACTGGCAAGCCCACATGATCCTTCTGTGGTCCATCTGGGTGGAGTCTCAGGGAGGACAAGTGCTCACCTCCCCAGACCTCTTGATGGGGATGAGGTTCCTGGGTGGTAATTTTGGTAAGTCCATGTGCCATCCACAACTGGGATTTCCCCTCTGGTGGTGGGCTCCTTACATTTTAGGCTAGAATACCTGGCAGCCTTGGGTATCAGCCATTCCAAGAGGGGCCTAAGTGAGGCCCCCCCACTGCCATTCTAATGCTACAGGTTAGTGTGAACCCCTCTGACTTGGCCTCATTGTTCCTTACATAGCAGGAATAAGTGCCACCTCGCCTAGGGCCCTGCCCCAACCTTCTCTAGGATAAGGGTGAGTATCAGCTGTCCGTAGGAGGGCTGCTGTCCTTGCTCAGAGGGGGCTGCCGCGTGTGGCCACACTTCAGACAGAGGGAGTGTGTTCAGGGTTTATTAGAGGGTACAGAAGAGCTGCTGGATTCCAGTCCAATCTGCGTTTAGATCTATTCATAGCTTAGGCACTTTTCTATTGTAAATCATGCGAATGATTTACAGTGGATCCTAGGTAAATCATGCAAATCTGCTGCAAAATGGAGTATTTGCCACAAATGGGCTTTGAAGGGGTATTGGTGATGAGTGAAGTACTGTTTGGGCAGTGTGAGATCCGGAGTCCTTGAAAGCATTATATTTATGTATGATACATTTTCATAGAGGCTTTCATATTCAAGAACCTTGAGCCATCCCTGAAAATCCTGGTCTTGCAAATGCCCACAAGAATCACCCAAGGCCAACAGGGGTCGGGGGGATGCAGACACCCAAAATTCCTTCTTTGGTCGTCAACTTGGGTGGCCATGCAGTGGCCATCAATAGCTTGGAACATGCCCCTTCCTTGCCTCAAGATCTGCTGCCCATTTCACAGGGGGAACTGAGGAAGCCAATTGAATTGGACTAACTATCACTTAGGAAGCTATGGCTACTCCTCCAAGAGACCTATTTTAAGTTTCTGAGCTACATAGAGATAGAAAAATAAAAAGCAACAGTGTATGGCAAAGGATGATTATCAGATTGCTCTGGGAACCACTGAAGGTTATGATAAAGATATAAAAGAAAGGTTGAAAGGTATTGGTCTGTAAGTCTCACTGAGTCAGAAGACTAGAGCGGACCTTTAAAAAAAATACTTCAGAAACACACACACACTTCAGTGTTCTCAGATAAATATGCGTTCCTATCTTCGACTATATTAATACTGTTAACCTATTTTAAATTCCTATGGCACAGCAAGAGTCTTACATAGTTATAAGGTTTTTTTTTTTTTTTTAATGCATGAGCTTTAAACTCGTTTTCTTACTTTAAATAGATGTATATTAACTCTCCGTTTAGGCTGCAGGACCTCCCAGCTTAGTTTAACAGTCCAACAAAATAAGAGTGGATACAAACTCTGTAATTTACTCACAGGCATAAATGGATATATAAATGTAAAAATGTGCACAATCTTTTATGCCATGCTTGGTTTCATTGTGACCTAATGTTTATAATATGTAAATAATGGCTTCCTTTTAAAGCAAAGAACTATTAATATACAGACTCATCTGAAGTCCTTTTCTTTAATATAAACAGAAATAAAAAGAAAAAAGTATTCTTTTGCAATAAATAAATAACCAACGAGAAAGGTTGCCATTGAAGGAATTAAAAATGACAGAAGTCAACAGAAAACTTTCAATATCATACTTCAACTTTAATATGAAGATATTGTTATCAAAGGAAAAGACTCAAGAAATTCTTTGATAAAAATAATCTCACACTATCTTTGAAGCGGTTGCATTTATTTTACTACCCACTGTGTTTCTTATCAGAAGGCCAAGGGTACGAAGTTTCCTAGTTATGATTAGGAAAGAATCTAATAGATCAGAAGACCCAATTGAAGTTGGACATAATAAGTATTAAAGTATTACATGACATTAATCCTGCCATTCCATTACTCTCTCCATCTTTGTGCACAGACTAATTATTCTGTAGCCAGTGTTCAGGAGAAAATAGAAACATACTTACCCTGGGCTGGAGTAATCTCTTTATTGCATCAACAAGGCTGGCTCTGTACTGGTCCAGAAACAGGCTGACATTGAGAAGAGAGCAGAATCCAGATTAAACTGGGTTTTCAAGTCTAATGATACTAATGGAGATAAGTACAAGGCTAATTACACATGTTTACCCAACGCTAAAAAAGAGAAATTGTTTCCTACCATTCAAGGGTCTCACTGGAGGGGGTGGGAGGGGAGAAGATATTGTGGTCAGTGTTATCCAACTAAAGCCAAGTTGTCAACATGCAATGGGCCAGGATTCACACGTGATTGGGCCATGTGTTAATGTTACAGGGACAATTTCCAAACTGCTGTTGGGGATAGCCATCTGGTTGAGATGAAGCACTCTGGCCACTTCCTGTCATTAGAGCCTAGTCTCCCTTAGACCTGGGCCCTCTGCCCACCAAGGGTGCTGTGTGGCTGCCCTCAGACAACAAACCACTAGCCCTATGACATCCAAACCATGAAATATATCTCAGGAGGTAACAGAGTTTAGTGACTAGAAACAGCACTGAGGTTAGACTCAACCTCTGACTTAGGAGTGAACAGCTACAAAAACAAAGAATAAACTCAGACAATATATCACAGAGACCATGGCAAGTCTGGATTTTCCTCTCTGGGCCTCCACATTGATTTTTTGTTTTTTTCTTTTCTTTCTTTCTTTTTTCTTTTTCTTTGAGACAGGATTTTGCACTGTCATCCAGTTACTGCAGCCTCGAATGCCAGGGCTCAAGCAATCCTCCCACCCCAGCCTCCCAAGTAGCTGGGACTACAGGTGTGCACCACCGTGCCCAGCTAGTTCTTTTTTTTTGGTAGAGACAGGGTCTCACTCTGTTGCCAGAGCTGGTCTTGAACTACTGGGTTCTAGCAATCTTCCTGCCTCAACCTCCCAAAGTGTGGGGAGTACAGGCACGTGCCACTGTACCCAACCCAGGTTAATGTTTTTATAATTCACTTTGATTTTTCATTTTCCATCCCTGATCTTTAGAGAATTTCTGTCCACGCAGATCTGCCTGTCACCCCTTTGCTTGGGTCAGTCTGACTTTGTCTTCACCAGTTATTATCTTCACCAATTAATAACTATTAATTCCCGAGTTATTATCTTGGGACACATTTTCCTTATCTGAAATTGCATGTCCCAGACCTTTGAGTTTGGGTTGCTTGCCAGTAGGTGGCAAGTTACTTAACTTGGCCATACCTGATGCTATGGTCTGAATGTTTCCCCCAAATTCATGTGCTGGAAACTTAATCCCCAATGCAACAGTATTGAGAGGTGGGGAGTTTGGCTCCTTTTTCCCCTTCTGCCTTCTGCCATGTGAGGACACTCGTTCCTCTTCTCCAGAGGATGCAGCATTCTGGGTGCCATCTTGGCAGAAGAGACCAGATGCTCACCAGACACCAAACCTGCCAGTGCCTTGATCTTGGATTTACCAGCCTTCAGAACTGTGAGAAGTACATTTCTGTTCTTTATCAATTACCCAATCTGTGGTATTCTGTTATAGCAGCAGAAAATGGACGAAGACAGCTGGATGTTTATTAAAACCAAGGAAAGGATTCTGTGGGTGGGGTTGGGGTGGGGACAGGTGAAAGCATTTAGTGCCGAAGGCACGCAGAACAGAGCCGGCTGTCAAACACCAGGGGAGTTGTCCAGCCTCTGTAGAAGGGCTCCCGGGCATTGCTAGAGCACTCTGTCAAGAGAAAGCAAAGCTGCTAGAGGCTGCCAATGATAGCTATTGATAGGGACTTCTTTTCTGAACCCCATGTTGGGATACATGATCTGATATTATGTGGGTGCAAAAGTAATTGCGGTTTTTGCCATACCTTTAATGGCAAAAACCGCAATTACTTTTGCACCAACATAGTAACTATGAACTGAGGTCATAATAACCGAGCTTAGAAAGTACAGCTGAATCTTTGAAATCTGAACAGTACTGGAATATCCAGGATGCTGAAACCACGGGGCCCGAATTGTATATACAACACCGAAAAGCAGTGATACTGTTTGGATGCTTGTCCCCTCCAAATCTCGTGTTGAAATGTGATCCCCAATGTTGGAGGTGGGGCTAGTGGGAGGTATTGGGTCATGGGGGTGGATCCTTCATCCGTGTCTTGGTGAACTCCCCGTGGTAATGAGCTCACGTGAGATCTGGTTGGTTGAAAGAGCCTCTCCTGTTTCTCTCTGTTGCTCCTTCTCTCTCACCACGTGACTGCCTGCTTCCCCTGTGCCTTCTGCCATAAGGAAACTTCCTGAAGCAGAAGCAGATGCCAGCCATATGCTTCCTGTACAGGCTGCAGAACCATGAGCCAATTAAATCTCATTTCTTTATAAATTACCTAGCCTCAGGTGTACCTTTGTAGCAGTGCAAAATGGACTAATACAAGCAGTAAAGAGGTAAGGAAGAAGGGGGCACTATGCCTGTCCTTATGGAGGTTACCGTATAAAAGGGAGGTGAGCCAGGCACAAGGACATACGTTAAATACAAATGGCAGAAACACACACGTTTTAATAACAAAACAGTTAATACTCACTGAGCTGAGTACTAGGTAACAGATATCTTCTAAGAGCTTTTCATAGTTCATTTAATCCTCACATCAATCCTATGAGGTAGCTTTTACTGTTAGCATTATTATTATTATTGCCCACATTTTACAGCTAAGGAAACAGAGGCATAGAGAGGTTTGGAGTCACACAGCTACTAATCGGCAGGGCTGGGATTCACCTCTGTACCATATTGACTTCAGAGTCTGTGCTCTGAGCCACTGCTCGGTACCGCCTCTCACATCTAATTGTAATTCCTCCTGAGCATGAAATAATGCACAGAAGAGAGCACTGACCAGTTTAGGCAAAAGGGGGAGGTCATCAGATGACTAGAGTTAGGCGGGATTGGTCAAGAAAGCCATCCCTGTTTACTTGCATCCATAGTGATCTCTCCTTTTTCCAAGCTCAGTACAAGGAGAGCATTTGGAAGTTCTCCCAGGTTCCTGCATTTCATTGTTGTCCTCTCATCCAGCTGCTGTGCTTCTTGAAGGCAGACAGCATCTGCGTTTCTTTCTTGTGTGTGTGTGTGTTTTTTTTTTTTTTTTTGAGACCGGGTCTCACTCTGTTGCCCAGGCTGGAGTGTGCAGTGCCGTGATCTCAACTCACTGCAACCTCCACCTTCTGGGTTCAAGCGATTCTCCTGCCTCAGCCTCCCAAGTAGCTGGGATTACAGACATGTGCCACCACTCCCAGCTAATTTTTGTTTTTTAGTAGAGACAGGATTTCACCATGTTGGCCAGGTTGGTCTCAAACTCCTGACCTCAGGTGATCCGCCGACCTTGGTCTCCAAAATTGTTGGGATTACAGGCGTGAGCCACTGCACCCGGCCTCATCTCTGCATTTCTTTTCCTCTCTCACAACATTTGGAAAAGAGCTGAGGACATAGTAGATGAAAAGGTTGATTCCTGGGGAAGAACAGCTGTGCTGTAGAGGTAGTCACTATGGTGACAGTGTACGGCTTGAGAAGTGTGTGAGACATACATCTCCAGCTTTAGAGCCATCAGTTCTAGGCTGTGTCTTTTGCAAAACAAGAAATAAATAAAAGGACTGTTTTCTACTTAATAAAAATGGACAATTATGTCTTTTTAAAAAGCAGGAACAGTAGGCCAGGCATGGTGGCTCACGCCTGTAATTCCGGCACTTTGGGAGACTGAGGTGGGCGGATCATCTGAGGTCAGGAGTTCAAGACCAGCCTGACCAACATAGTGAAATCCCGTCTCTACTAAAAATACAAAAATTAGCCGGGCATGGTGGCATGTGCCTGTAATCCCAGCTACTTGGGTGGCTGAGGCGGGAGAGTCGCTTGAACCTGGGAGGCGGAGGAGGAGGCTTCTGTGAGCCGAGATCGCACCACTGCACTCCAGCCTGGGCGACAGAGTGAGACTTTGTCTCAGAGAGACCAAAAAAAAAAAAAAAAAAAAAAAAAAGGCGGGGACAGCAAAACTACATTTGAAACCTCTGAACTCAGAACACCATTTCAAATGCATTTGTTTCGAAAGTAATATGGAAAACTGTTCCATTCACAACTTGAATTTCTTCTCTAACAGTGGGTCCCTTACCTTAAGCTAGAACACTCAGCAACCTTGTGCATTAGCCATCTCCATGAGGGGCCTGAGCAAGGCCCCCTACTCCCATTTCTAATGCTGCAGGGCAGTCCCCTCTGATTTGGCCTCCTGTCTCTTCACACAGCAGCAGTAAGTACTATCTACTCTAGGGCCCTGCATCATTCTTTTTAGCTAACGGTGAGTATCAGCTGTCAGTGGGAGGCCTGCTGTCCTCAATCAGAGGGGGCTGCTGTGTGGAGCTACACTTCAGACAAGGGAGGAGCTTGGTTCAGGGTTTTAAAGTTCTGGCTTTGATGTTACTGCCATGTGACTTTGGGCAGGTCACTTCATGTGAAGCCTGTTTCCTTGTCAGTAAGCACCCACCTATATGACTATGTGGACATGAAATTAATAAGATATGTTAGCTGATAAATATTTGTTGAGCATCTACTATATACTAAGGGCAAATTTAGGCACTGGGGATTAGCTACGAATAAGACAAAGTTCCCATCCTCAAGGAGCTTCCATTCTGTCTTCATTTTGCTTTACTATTAATAGTTCCAGCACAGCATACACACAGAAGGTGCTCAATACATGGTTACTTGTGGACTGACTGGCAGATCATCACAGTCCTTGGAATCGAGGAGCTTATGTAGGGTGTTAGTTTCAATGTCCCTAAAGTGGGTGGCACATACTCCTTTGAACTGATATTGTCAAGGATGAATCCACTTTCAGGTAGGATGTTTCACCAGACTAGGTTCTCTTCCAATTTGATGATTTTCTCCTCTGAGGAGAGCAGCTTATAAGAAGTTTCCAAAAAGTCATTGCTTGAGTTTCTTTGGTTACCACAGGTTCCATGGAAGGTTCTTCTATGGAAGGTTCTTCTATGGAAGGCCACTTTGAGCAATGGAAAAATAATCCTCAGATGGGCTAGAAACCATGTCCAGAATGG